GAACTTATTCTGTATTTTAAAACAAATTATTTAGTTAGTGTGTTATAGACTGAAGGCCAACTGGTATTGCAATAAAAGTTTATGCTGAGGATAAAAGATTTCTAAGACGTAGGTAGACATAGGTAAATGATACATGTATATCAATTTATATCCTAAGCAGTTAGGCTTCATAAACTACTTTTTGTTTTGCATATTGTGAAGCTATTCTGCTAGGTGCATACAAGTTTATAATTACTGTATCTGCATGACAAGTTGTTCCATTTATCATAAGGTCATGACCTTTCTTCATCCCTTACAATTATTTTCACCTTAGAATCTATTTTCTTCTGATGGAAATGGAACTATAACACTTGCTTTTAATTCATGGTTCTTTGGGGTAACTTATTCTGCTGTTGGAGTTTGAACGTGTCTGTATCCTCATACTTTAACTTTGTTTCTTGTAAACATCACGTAGCTGACAAACTGACATTCTTTGTTTTTTCAACAAAATTTATTTCATTTATATTGACTGTGACTATAGAGGTATATGAATTCATCTCCACCATCTTACTTTGTGCTTATATTAATTATTCATCCTGCTTTATATATTTTTATCTCCTTCTAATTTCATTTGGATTGATGAACATTTTTTAGTTAATGTTTTCTTCAAGAGATTTGGAAGCCATCTATTTTATTTCCTTAAAAATAACCCATAACTAAGTCTTTACCCTCTTGCCATAAAAATACAAAGACCTTAGAAATGGTAATTCCATTCGCTCTCCTTTGCTTGCATCATTTTTATACCCTCAAATTAGGCACTGTCATTGTATTGTTTTATTCAGTAACTGAACAGACTTTTTCATGTTGGTACTAGTTCCGTTGCTTACTATTCTTCCTGGTGTTTCACTTCCATTCTTATCATTGAAATTTCTTCTTCCTGAGGTCCAGTCTTTAGTAGAAGTTCCTCCAGTGAGACTCTCCTTCAATGATAAACTCTGTTTTTCTGATTGCACAAAAATGTCTTTGCTCTTCTTCTTAAGTAATAGTTTAGCAAAGGGTGAGGTTATATGTGGATAGTTACTTGCTGTCAGCACACTGAAGGTATCATCTCTTGCATTTATTATAATGGGTTTACATGCATTGAATTGGATCCCCATGTTCACTAATTGACTACAATTCAAAATAAGGATTTTTTTTTTAAAAATCAATCTACTATTGCCTACACTGTAATGGAATCCAAATTTATGTTTAATATAACAAATCTATTAAAATTATAACTTATAACCCTCATCCTTTAAAAAAAGAGGCTTTGAATTGCCTATTCAAATCTGGGAGATTCTTCATGGACATATTTCAAGAATTTAGTGAGGAAGATACAGACTTACATACCTCTAAGAGGAGGGAAGCTCTTTTGTGAACATTTTCCTTGAAACTTCCAATCTTAGAAAAGTAGAAGCAGCATAGTAGAAGGACACTGTCAAATGTCAGCTTGCACTAATAAATAAATTTGGTATAGATTTTCAACAAGTGCTTAGAATTAGCAAAAAAAAACCTAATTATTTAAGACAAGTTTAAAACTGTAGTAACAATTCTGTACAGTCTTAATATACTTTCCATTTTTCATATATATATATTTTTCTTTTTTTGTTATGCCAGAGGGGAAGAATTCACCCTCTCTCTCTTTACAAATACTCTTTTTGTTAACTGACTGTAATTGCCAAATAACAAATGTAACAGAGTCAAATATGTGTTTGATTTATTAACGCAGGTGGTTCCTTCTTAAAGAGAAATAGGCATGTTGCCTGTGGTCTGTGGCATGAAGCCCACTTCAAAGGGTAAAGTTCACTTTCTTCCTTTTACTCTTTTTCCTTCCTTCTGTCTTTCTTTCCTTATTTCTTTGCTGTTGTTGTTTTAGAGACAGTAGATGTGATTCACCTTTTGTTTAAAAACACAAACTGAAAAAAACCACTATGCGTGTTGGGCTTTTTAGCTTTCAATTCTACTTCACTTAATGTAATGAAACTTTTTCATATCTGCTACAATATGAAGTCCAATAGCTGATGCAAATGAAGAACAAAGCACTGGATGTTCAGGTAAAAGCTAGGGGAGATGGAGGTTTCACAAAGTATGTTAATCACATGGCAAGTGAGTTGTACATTAAGTAAGAGAGGAGACTCCTGCTCTCTCATTCCTTGTATTCAATTCAGGACTGGGACTCCATCCTGAAACCTCATGAGTCCACTTTTTATTCATTTTTCCCTCTTTATGTCCACGGTCATTATTGTGGTTAACACCCTCTCTGTAACTTGCTTAAATCTAAGTTTGCTGCTTTTTGACCGGCTCTCCCCATTGACCTAAAATACACCTGACCAAATCACACTCCTGCTTAAAATCCTTGGTTATATTATTACTTTTCTACCCTTCAAGTGTCTGACACATAGTGGTTGCTAAATAAATGTGTGTGTTTTTTTAAAACAAGATAAAGAAGAAAAAGGAAATGAGAAGTAATGGAGAGATTAGTACATTAACTCACTTAGTGAGTATTTGAACTATGTGTCCAGCACTGTGCATGGTGTTCACAAGGGTGAACACAATATATGTAGGGCTCCTGTTGTGGGCAGGCTTCAGTCTCACTCATTCCATCTAAATAAGTAAACAGTTAAAATGCCTAGGCACCGACTATGGATCAGGCATCCTACCAAGTGTTCTCCTTTGGTCTTCACAACCACCCACAATGAGCTAGGCACTTTTACTATGCCCATTTTGTTCAGGATACAACGGGGTATGACAAGGTTAAGTAGTAAGAGATGGAGTTAGGATTAGAAACTTGACAGACAGAAAAAGAGTTAGGAAAAGAGTTCTAACTCAAACCCATAGTGTACACTCATTGTCTGGTTCATTAGAACACACCTACGATTCCTGCAGTGATAAGGGAATGCTATCCAGCAGAGGAAATCACCCAGGGTCTGACTGCCGAGAACTGACCTCCAGAGTCAGGCATGGCTACACTCAGCACTGGATTTTCGGAAGCCTCCAGAATTCTTGGTACATCATAGGAAGGGGATTCATTTCTGTACCCCTTAGCCCTCTGCCTAAAGCATGTTGACCAAATTTGTTCTTAGTCCAGGAATTTCAGCTAAGAATTTATCCAACCACCTATTTCCCATTTTTTTAATCTTTAAGATTCTGGTTTTAATAACTTATTGTATTTGTACCCTTAAAATTTTTATTAATCATTTTCATATTTTTAAAATGTCTTAATAGTCATTATCCTTAATACTTTTTATTATTCACTTAATTTTTTACTATCTTTTAATTAAACTTTTTAAAGATATTTTTACTTTACCCTTCATTTTTCAAGTTTGCTTCCTTTTCACTCTTCTCTACCATGTCCCCAACTTCATTTAATTTTATTCTTTTAGTAAAGGTGATTAATTAAACGTGGTTAAATGTTATGCCTTTTTAAGACTTTAAAATCAACTTTTGCATAAATCAGGGAAAAAGACCTTGTGGAGAATGAGTTCAAGGACATGCTTCTGGAGATGGTTTACGAAGAGCCAGTTCAGAAAGTGAAGATCGAAGATCGAAGATCATGTGGGCTGAGCTGGGCAGGGCTCTGTGTGCGAGGTAGGGTGTGAGTCCTGAGCGGGTCTGTCAGGAAGCCAGGCCCTTGTCCCAGTTCTTTCACTAGCTGCCCTTGTGGCCCTTGGCAGACCCTTTCCCGGGCTCTTCTCAGCAGTAGCAGGAAAGGGCTGAAATAAATCATTTCCAAATGGGCCTTTCCAGCTTTGGTATTGTGTGTGTCCTACGATTCAGATGGCCGTGGATTAGCAGAACAAAGCCGAGCATTTTGATGGAGCCCTATTAAAGTGGCATATCAAATTATCAAAACACTGCTTTTTATTACTTAATAATGTTCTCAGAAGAAATCCTTGGTGTATCCCTGACCCCATGGCTAAGCCTTGCCCTGTTCCTCAGCCTGTGAACCCCATCAAAGTATCCCTGTGATCAAAATGGCAATGTCAAAATAGCATGAGCCCTTTGAAGGGCTTTAGATTCTGGGCACAACTGCTCACTTATCCCTTAGCTGTGTGGTCTTTGGAATGAGACTTCTCAGCGTTGGTTTCCTCATCTGTAAAGTAAATTATAGTCTTGACACTGAAGATATTAAGCTTCAAAATAAAATGTGTAAAGAGCCCATGCATGCTTCATCACATATAGAAAGGAAATAAAGCTTGAGGTAGTTTAGTGGTCCCAAAAGAACTTCCTAAAAGAAAATCATCTGTGTTTCACTAAAAAATTTTTAAATCATTTCTAGGTTTCTAGGTTAGGAGCGTCTTGGGTTTCAGAAGGGCTGATGGCCCTGTAGACTGGGAAGAGATCAAGGGCTCAAGTGGGAAGGAAAAGCAGAGATCAGACAGTCAGACAGTCTGAACATGTACTGAACAACTTATCAGATGTACAAAGAGAAGGGAATGTTTATGGAAAACAAGCCCCCACATCTCCCTCACTCCTATGCCCAGATCAGAGCCCTTGTGTCTGAGTCAGAGCTGAAAATCAGCTTTTAGAAGTGTTATTGCTCACAGGGGGCAAGTACTGGTATGATACAGCAACATTACTCTTGAGCTCTGTGGCATCTTGACCTTGGCTGGCTTAGAGGAATCTCAGCGAGACTCATCTGTGGCTTTATGTAGTGACCAAATTGGCTAAAAGACCCAAAGATGAAACATACGTTGCTCTGGCAGGAAGTTTGGGAACACTTGGTGAACTTCTTGAGAAATAAGATAATCTTGTAAAATTGGGTTGTCTAGTTGCTGAATTCCTGAGGCAAAGTAAACAACGAGAGTACTGAGGCATGCGTGTTGGGGGAAGGTGGGTTGAAGCTGGCTGGATGATGATGATGATGATGGAGATGATGATGTCTCGAGGATCACAAAGAGAAAGGATGCATTCAGGTTCTAGAAAACTGTCCATATTCTCAATTTTGGTATGGCCCTCTACCCCCAATTTTCCCTGGAAAATTATCTCACTTTGAATTTTCATTCTTTTGAAAAAAATAAATGGGAACCAAGGAGATATTACAAGCTATTATAAATGTTCAGGATACCAAATTGAGTAAGACACAACCATTCCTGGATTGGGTTGACAGTTTTGGGGATAAAAACCTGTGGGCAGCCCATGGTACAATCCAATGTGGTGGGTGCCGTTACAGAAAATTGAGCAAAGTACTGCAGATCACAGAGGTCAGATCAGCCAGCTCTGCCTGTGATAGTCACAAAAAGTCTTCATAGAAGAGGTAATATACTTCAGCTGGTTTCTTACAAAGAAGGTAATTCAGGAAGTGAGAAGGGGAGAGATTTTAGACGCAAAGCTTGTACAAAGAAGGCACAGAGTCAGAAATGGATATGGCATAGAGGTATGGGCCTAATATGGACTGGAATTTGACAAGAAGGCCATGATGGCAGGACAGGAACTTAAGCTATAGGATAGAATGATAGAATGATAGGGAGTGAGTCTAGGAAGGCACTTGGATGACAGCCTTCATGCTAAGCTAGAGAGTTCGGATTTTATCTATGAATTCCAGGAAGGCCAAGAAGAGATTTTGTTGTTTTGTTTGTTTTTCTTTATTAACCTGGGATGGAACATAGTGGTTTTGTTTTTAGTAATAAACCTTCAGTGGAAGAAAGATGTTTAAGCAGTTGCATCCAGGAGACTCTGGTGCAAGACCGTTTCACTAGCCATTGCATCTTTTAAAGTTAATGGTCCAGTCTTGGAAGAAGGGATAAAAACAGAGAGAGAAGAAGCAGGAAGTAAGTCTTAATGCTGAGGTGGAATAGGATATTCAATGCCAGATCAGATGTAAGGATGTTAGATGAGCTGGAGGGAGGTCTTGGTGATGGCAGCAAGAGTCAATTGTGAAGACGGGCTAAGTGGCCGCACCATAAACTGATATGAAAAATAACTTCATTCCTGGTTATACACATGTTCTCTTGACATGACATGTTTTTGCTCATACAAATGCAAGAGAGAGTGTACACCTAATTTTTTTTTATGTGGGCAAAGATATTTTGCTTTATGGGGTCTGGTTCCAGCCTGCTCAAAGGTGTAGGACATCACATGCCAGAGATGATTACCAAAATTCATGATCTCCTCTTCTTTCTGGGCACATGGCTGGACTTCACATCCCAGCTTCCATTACAGTAACGTGTGGCCCTGTGATTGAGTTCTAGCCACTGGTATGTGAGCAAAAGTGATGTACACTGATTCCAAGATTGACCCATAAACTTCATGAGGCATTCCTCCATGCTCTGGCTCCTCCTCTGGCTGGTTGGAATGGAGACAACTTCTGTGGCATTAATCAAAGCTACAAGGTGAAGGTGACAGAGCCTCCAATAGTCTGGGTCCCCAGGGTGACATTGCAGAGGCTTTTCACCTACTCGGTATTGTTACAGGAGTTAAAAATAAGCATCAGCTCGGATCTATTTGTTACAGAGGTTACTCTACCCTAACTATTACATCAAGTTCTCATACTGATTTGTTAATTTAATGAATATTTATTGAATATTGATTATGCACCTGGCACTATATTAGGTACTAGGGATGGAGTATAGAGAATATAACTGTCTTGTTCTCACAGAGCCACAGAGCTTACAGCCCAGGAAGTAAACACCAGTTTTATATGTTTCTGCTTAGAATGCCTCACTGTACTATTTTATTACATCAAAGTACTTTTTTATATTGAAAAATTTCCCTTCATATAATATTGATTTTTTAAAAACATGAGTTTTACTACCAGTTTGAGATAATTTTCATAATAACCAAGAACCAGCACCCAGCATTGAGACAGCTGATGTGTGAGCTCTTTCCAAGTTTCTAGTCACTTTAGAAATTTTATATTTTATTAGTGTAATTGCAGAGTTTACACTTACCTACATAATACAATTTATGTTGTCAATATCACCAGCATTAATGCTTGAGCTTACTTTTCCATTACTAGAAAAAGTGTTATTGTGACATTAATAATAGTGAAAATTAAATCATTTATATGAACTTCTGCTTATGAGGAAAGGTTTTTAAATTGAGTGTGTTTACATATTAGTAGATGAGTGTACAGAAGTAGAACAGGTCTGGGGAGGTGGAGGTAAGTGGGGAAGTAGCACCTGATGGATTCCATTTTGAATGGGTTACACTGGAGTTGCCCACCAGACATTCAGGAGAATCTGGGCCTGGCAGCCAGCTGAGTTCTTGATTTGGGGGTCATTTGTAGGTTTAAGTAAAATAACTAGTGGCGAGGAGAAGATTAAAGACACAAAAGAAAACAAAAAAAGACACAAAGAGAGGGGACTGTGACCCTGGGATGCAGGTTTCTTACCTGGGAGCAAAGTCCCATGAGTCACTTAGTTCCTCTTGACCCTCTTTTCAACACTCGGTGAATTCGAATGCTACATAACAAATTACAGATTGAGCACTTAACACAGCATTACACTTCTCATAATATGAACACTAAGTAACGCATTGTCATATTATATTGTATACCTGAAATTAATATAATTAACAATCACATGAATATTAATTAATAATATTAAGAATAATTAAGAATATGTTAATAAATTAATATAACCCTGTATGTTAACTATGCTTCAATTAAAAAAATAAAGCAATTATTGATAGGTTAAAAAAAACCATAAACTTATTATCTAAGAGTTCCCATGCCTGCGTCCAGGCACAGCCTAGGTGGGTCTCCTACTCAGGGTGTCACAAGGCTGAAATCAGGGTGTCACTGAGACCACAATCTTATCTGAGACTTGGCTTCTCTTGTGAGCTCACTAGCTGTTGGCACTGCTGGCAGAGTGTAGTTTCTGATTAGGTCAGGCCCACCCAGGATAATCTCTTCTGATTAGTTTAGGGGCCTTCATCACATCTGTGAAACCCCTTCACCTTTGCCATATAGCGTAACCTAATCATGAGAGTAGGGAGTGATATTGTATCATAGTCCAAGGCCTGCCTACACTCAAGTGGAGGTGATTATGCAGAGTATGCATATCAGGAGTTGAGAACCTTGGAGGTTATCTTAGAATTCTGTCCACCACAAAGGCCATGGATATATTCATTTACAGAACAACTATTTTTTGAGCACCTACAATTTGTCAAGTGTTATTATGGTATCTTTGCAGACAATAAATACTTTTTAAAAACTAGAGCAGAATAAGCAGAATTTGGACTGCTAGAAGTTAGCATGGCAAGCGGCTATTTTAAGTGAGGTGGTAAGCCCTGGCTTCATGGAGAAAGTAACACGTAAGCCAAGACTCCTTATAAGAACCACAGCTTTCCCTATGCCCAGAGGTCTTCAGATGTTTCTCTCAATTTATTTTCCTTTAACCCTTAATCTTTTTTTGTAGAACTAATGAAATAAATTAAAAAATTCTACACTGCATTTTATTACATTTAAATTAAGACTCCACAAAACAGAGTGAGCCAGAAGGCAAAAATCTTATAAGCCAAAAGAAACCAGGGAAACCCCTGATGTTTCAAAGGGGCTCGAAAGGCAGAAATCTGTTGTTCAAAAAAGAATCCAACATGCTCACATTTGGGCCCATCACTGAATCCGTATGACACTGGGCCTGTGGTTTATTCATTCATCCCATATAATATACTAAGAATTTGTTATACGCAAGGCTTCATGCTAAGCATGGAGATCTTAAAGATAAGTAAGGTATAATCCCTGACTTTGAAGAATTTACAGTAGAGTGAGACACAGAATCTTGTGTAGATAATTTCAATTATGGCATCCCATCAGGACTATCAACAGCTAGTAATTATACAGAGAAAACACCCTCCCTGGGGTTTCTCAGCGGCGACCATGAAATCAAAACCCGTAACAAGTTCTAGATGAGCTTTCTAAAATGTGGCCTAGGATGATTTTGACAGGTGTATAGTATTCTACAGACCCAGGATGGGGGTGATAAGTAGTCATGTTTACCCACAAATGGCTCCCTTGGGCTGAGCCTGGGGAGACGAAATGGTAAGCCAATGTTGTGACTTGACCAGAGAACACAGGCGGGAAGAGCAACCGGATTATTCAGCACTGATAGGGCAGTGTTTATCTAACAGCTGTACAACAACCGTGCTACCAGGAAGCTAGGGAAACAGTAGCCTCATAACCGGTCTCCAGCGTGTTCTGTCACAGGTACTACATGAGAACCGTATTGTTGAAGCTTTTGTCTGCTCTGGATCTTAATGCACCAATCCTGGAAGACTGGTGTGGCTGATGGCACTGCATCCATGCAGGGATGAGGCTGCTCAAGAGCCCTTGTATTTGCTGGCGACTGCTGGGGGACAAACGATTCTAAAATTGAGCGGCTTGAAATAATAGCCATTTGTTTACCTCAAATTCTGTAACTGAGCTCACTTGGACAGTCTTCCTGTCTAGGCCAAGCCTGGCCTGGTCTCAGCTGGGTTTATTCATGGGCTAGTGGTCAGCTGGTGGGTCAGCTGGGGCTGTTGGTTTATGATAGCTTTGTCTCGGACAGCTGGGTTGACTGAGACCTCTCCCCACAAGGTCTCCCCACTCCCAGGCTCCATTTGCAAGATGGTCAAAGGTTGCAAGAGCAACAAGCAGATAGGAACTTAATATTTTTACTATATTAACGGCATTGATGATTTGGGTGCCAGTTAGTCAATTTTCTATATAGCAGCCCATTCGCCTGGGTTAATGCAGAAGTGACATTTCACAGCACTATTTCTTAAAAGCTAAGCATAATCCAGTGACACACTTTTGTTTTTCCAAAGGTAGGAGACATAGGAAAGATTAAAACTCCAGGCCAAAGAGTGATTCATTTGGCATTCTTTTTGAGCAGCCTGATGGCAGAAAAGTTTACAGAGCACGTTGCACTGGGCACAGGAATAGAGCTACGTGGTGCTAGCCCCACACAGGTGTCAGTCTGAAGGTGCAGGGGGCCTGGACTCTGTCCAGCTGGGAAGGGCTTTTCCTCATACAGGGGTGTATGACCACCGACCTGCCCAGAGAGCTTCAAAAGTCCCTCTCTTTAGCTTTCCCTTTGCCTGACTCTCCCCTGCCTCCCCCATTAGCCCCTGCAAAACATAGTAATGGAGGTTAAGTGATCATCTCACATAAAGGTAAACCGCCACAAAGGTCACAGATCATTCTTCCAATGCTCTGGATTATCCTGAGATAAATGAGAATTCGCTGGATATAAAAAAATTTCCGGTAGAGGGGTATCTGGGTGGCTCAGTCATTGTCTGCCTTCAGCTCAGGACCATGGGATCGAGCCCCACGTCGGGCTCCCTGCTCGGCGGGAAGCCTGTTCTCCCTCTCCCGCTCCCCCTGCTTGTGTTCCCTTTCTCGCTGTGTCTCTCTCTGTCAAATAAATAAATAAATAAAATATTTTAAAAAAAATTTCTGGTAGTTTCAGGGAGCTACTAAATTAGCCCCGATTCCATATGAAGTGAACATATTTTATTCACCAGAAAATCCCATCCAGATGTTACTTTGTTTGATGATAATTGGCTCAACAGTATTTACCAAATACCCTCGTGCCTGGCACTGTGCTGGGAGCTGGGTATGCAGACATAGCCCTGGCCTCACGGAATTGAGGGTCTCACAGAAGATGCATTGAACAAGCATTAAAATTACCATGATGGCTATGAAAAACTATCAGCTGTCGTGAGAACATAAGGGGGGGGGGGTCTCGATTCCTCTCCGGGAATCAGGGCAAGTTTCCCCAAGGAATAGTAGTTTCATCTGAGAGCCAAAGGGGAAGTAAGAATTTGTCAGGTGCAAAAGGGGTGGCAGGAATAGAGCACCACGTTCCCCGCAGAAGGAGGAACATGTGCGAACACCCAGAGTCTGGCCCTCCGAGAACTGGAGGAAAGCTGGCTGGAACAAAGAGAAGGCTAGGCAAGCAGCACAGAGGGGTGGGCGGGTACGAAAGATTTCACTTCTAGTTACTGTTGTGGTCACTGTTGTTATTATTAAGTCCTTCCTTCATTTACAAGTCAATTGCTTTCAAAGAATTTTTTTATGCTATTTCTAATACCTTTGGGTCTGTCTGGCCTCAGATACATCTACTTCTCCATCCCTGGGCCAGTCCATGTCACCTCAGTGTGCCACCACCTATGCAGTTGACAGCCAGCGCTGCCTCCTCCCTGCCTCGGCAAGTATCTTGAGACCTGGATCCTGGGAAACCTCCCCCTACACTCAATTTGTCATCGCTTTGGGCAGATTTCAATCCCTATGACTACTTTTTCCCCTAGGCCATTCGAATTAATTGTGAAAGTAAAATTTCATGAGACACTATATGATTGTTTTACTCACACACAAACATCTAGAATTTACAGCATTCTATTAAAAAGCAAAGAGAAACTGAACTCAGCTAAACAGACCCCTCTGGTTGGCTTGTACTCTTTATTCCCATTAAACACAAAACGTGTGTTACCCTAGTTGGCCACCCCTCTGGTGAGGTATCTGTAAGTGAAACAAATCAGGTGACTGACTTCCATGATGGTTTTCCTCTTCCAAGGCACTGGCTTGGTTTCTTGTTATTACTTTGATGCTGCTAGTTTCAAGAAATAGTCTCTGGTATTTATTAATGAGTGTTGTGGGGTGGAAACTGCCTGGGCTCAGAGGCCTTGGGTTCAAGTTCTGATGCTCTCGGTTTGCTGGTTGGTGGTATCTCTATGCTGCAGTGTCTCCATCCACAAGATGGATCCTTACAGCCCTGAAATCATAGCTATTCACGGGTTCATGTAGATTTATCACCTTCTGTGTTGAAGGTTCTGTGCTGGGTGTTGAGTATTCTAGTTTGCTTTGTTGACAAATAATGGTGGCCAGTTTAACGTCTATACTTAGAGTTGCTTCACAGCGTGAAGTGTTCACTCTGTCAGGATTGATGAAAAGTTCTATGTCTAAAGAATGTGCGCTTCAGTGCTACATAATAAGAGAGAGTAGGGACTTCGCTTTTCTCTCTGATTTGAATCAACTTTGACCTGTTTTTTATTAAGGTGTGAAAGATGGATGCCAGTCACTTAATTTACCTCAGATGGTGCAATCCAGCTTGTACCAGCAGATGACCTCCACTTGGAAGATACAGGACTTTTTAGAAAATAATACCGACTGGAAGAAAACAGAGAAGGCAAGAAATTTCTCTTTTGTATTTATTATATCCAAGTGAATGTTCAACCAAACTATAAACATATTTACCACAGAGCTATTGTGGCTTTTTCCCTCCAAAATGTTACTTGATTATCTTGACACAAGGCAACGTTACTTTATTGTCCTCCACAAGGCAAGGTCCCTCCTCCGGTCGCCAACAAACCAGCTTTATTTAGAGAAACATACTTGATCATACTCTTTTTAAAGCTGATTTTCCTGGAAGGTAGCTACCAAGTTAACTGAAACTGACATTTAACCAACAGCCAATAATGCAGTAATGCATTAAAAAGTATTTCCTGAAAATAAAAGGTCATTGTTGGCTAGATTTTTGGATGTTTTATAGATGGTGGCAACACGAGGCTTCGGTGCATATTCTCTAATACATATATGGTGGGTGGGATGAGAAGAGGGGTCAATTCTTGAAATACAATCGATAGCTATCAACTATTTTGAGTTACTAGCAAAAACAAATGAGATGCTTTCTGTGATCCTTGCAACATCTTGTAAATTGACCCTCATCAGCATGAAGACCTGATGTGCTGGGTGTGATTTATTCAGCAAACATTTATGGGAAGTCTCTAATGTGGCAGGAACAATGGCGGCTACTCAGTGCTGGGGAGGCAAACGTGACTAAGAACTCCGGAGCTCCGCAGAGAGCCTGGAAGGTAAAGAAGTTTCTTAGCACAGAGTGACGTAAGTGATAAGACATTATGCGCAGATGCACTTGGCCTGGGGGTCAGGGAGCAGTGAGAGGTCATCTCGCAGAGCTCTAGAAGTAGAGGTAATAATAAGTATCATAGCTAACTAGAAGGGTACAACCCAGAAATTGCAAGAATGGCTTTCTCTCCTATCCTATTGGCCTGAACTTACTCTGACATCACCCCTAACTGCAAAGGAGGCCCGCACGCGCAGTCTCTAAGCTGAATAGCCACTGCCCCTGGAAACACTGGAGGTTCTCTTACTGGGAGGAGCAGAGAGAGAACTATTCTGAAGGGGGGACAGGAAGCAGTTTCTGCTCCCGTCATTTTTTTCTCCCAGTTCTCCTGAGATATAATTGATGTATGACATTGTACTAGTTTAAGATGTACAACACAAGCATCTGGTATGTTAGAAATATTCAGTGTATATTGCACATATTCAATATGATCAACACAGGAAGTGTAGCTGGCATCCATCACCACACATAGTTACAATTTTTTTTCTTGTGGATGAGAACTTTTAAGATCTCCTCTGTTAGCAACTTCAAAATAGACAATACGGTCTTTTTAAAAAGAAGATTTATTTACTTATTTTTAGAGAGAGAGAGTGTGCATGGGGGAACAAGCAGAGGGAGAGAATCTTTCAAGCAGACTCCCCGCTGAGCGAGGAACCTGATGCCGGGCTCAGTCCCACAACCCATGAGATCATGACCTGAGCTGAAAACCAAGAGCCTGATGCTTAACTGACTGAGCCACCCAGGCACCCCCATATTGTTAACTGTAGTCACCATGCTGTATGTTAATCCCCAGGACTTCTTTATCTTGAAACTGGAAGTTTATACTTTTTGGTCATCTTCACCCATTTCACTCGCCCCTACCTGCCTCTGGCGACCACCAATCTGTTAAGTATTTGAAGGAATGACAGAGGATCACTTAGAGCCTCAGGACTGGAAGCACATCCAGAGGTCGTCTGATAATCTCTCTGGGGATATTTGGACCTCCTCTTCAATATTCTCCCCCTTCCATCTCCCCCAGCGCTCTCGGGTGGGTACCTACCTTTCTGAGAACTTGCAAGGGTGGGGTTTGTTTGTAATACTTCTATTTCAGGCACATTAACTGAAAAGAGATGAGCTCTGCCATTAGAAGCTAACATCACCCTGTTTATATCATCAGTTCTCAGAATTTGGATCTTACAAATGAGAAGTGACACAATAATGGGATTAATGCATCAGCTAATGTAATGGACTGCTTTAGTCAAAACTAAAAACCATTCAGGGGAGGCATGTGAAAACCATCCATCTAGTAAGGAAAATGTTTCTTCTGAATCCTCAGCAAAACTGGGATTAGAAGGGGACCACCGAGCTTTAGGGTACACCCCTTGGAGGTTTCATTCCAGACAAGAACTGTGGAATGAACTCCCCCACGGCCCTGGTTAACTGAACTCCAGGATGAGCACCACAGATAGAAGCTAAGTGACTGCTGAGCCCCCATTCCCTGACCTTGACCATCCTCAAAGGAAGCAAATGGACTAAGTGGATAAGTTCCTTACATCTTTTGCAGATCTTCCCTCTGCAGAAAAATAGGAGCAAGAAGCTTAAAGGCAAGATATGCTCCTTTCTTAAAAAAAAAAAAAAACAAAAAAAAAAAAAAAAAAAACCTTTGCTAGTTTGCATATATACTGATGTATCTATCATTTAATTAAAGCAATTTGACATTCTTAGGTGTTTTCTTTAATGGCACACACACACTTCAGTTTCTCATAGGCTGGAAAGTAGGGTATTATCAGAAAATCTGGCACAACTTTGGGTGGATTGTGTGCATAGTTTTAATTGAATTCTCATTTTATTTTTAACTTCTAGAACAGATGGAGTCTGGGGACCAAAATCATCCCACTCTCCCATAAGCGTGTGAAAATGAGTGGCTGTGATCCCATCCATCACTTGACCAGCGTTTATGTAGATCACCTCCTCTATGCCACATGTTCGGGCTGGGAATAAGAGCTATTTTTGTTAAGAGATACCTGTTGTGGGATTAGCCCTTTAAAGGTTTCAGGGGACCTCGATGATGGTCACTGCTAGATTCTAAACACGTAAATCACAAGTAGTTACAGGTACAGGACCTGACAGAGAAGGAGGCCAACAACCGGCAGGCTGCGGCTGGATGAGACCACCGAGGCCGCTGGCCGAGCTCAGGGAGGCAGAGCACCAGTGTGCGTTAGCGATGTTGCTGGGGAGGCCGGAAGGAAGAGCGGCCGCAAGAGTACCGCGTGTTGGCCCTCCTTGCTCAAGGAACGGAGAAGGCTGCCAGCAGAAGACAGGGCTCTGAAGAATAGCCGGAAAGAGGAAGTAAGACGCTGGACCCGTAGTTATTTTATCTGAGCAACAGCGTCTATGCCAGAGTGATATAACCAAGCAAGGCCTTCTAGCAGGAACCGGTTACTCCGCAGGTCTTCACTGGCACCTATCTGGCTGGCAAGGGGAGCGGCTGTAAAACCAGAGGAATATTTATGGGGCTGAAAGACAAGAAACCTCTCACCTCTGGAAGGAGAAATGGTGGCTCAAGCTTGCTCTAGGAAGACTCCTGGGCCAGGAGATGATCTAGGAATGGGAGAAATGTACCTGCCTGGGGCTGTTTACCATTTTCCAACCTCAGTCTTGCAAAATGGGTGACAAGCCTCTCACTCCTCGCCCTCCTTCCCTGAATCACGCTCTGCAGCAAGAGCACACGGACCTTTGATGCTGACGTCGCTGTCCTCCTCCCAGGCACATGCCACCTGAGGGTCTGGCCACAGGCAGGTCTGGGGGTGCTGGACATCCAACTCAGCTGACCCTCTCCGGCAGCACGGGGCTTCGACTGGGAGGGACTTCAGCCCATTTTCGAACAAACACTCCCTTAGCGCTGCCGTGCCAGGCAATGTTGGTTTTAAGCACTTTACAACATTAACTCATTTCAAGGGCACATTTATCTCCATGAGTACGGAGAAACGTATGGGGTTTTGAACCATTATATTATTCACGTGAAACTAATATAACGCTATGTTAATTATACCTGAATTAAAAAAACACATAGAACATCCCTCTCTGCGATAGGTAATTCTATGCTTCCCATTTGACAAGTGAGACAGCAGAGGCACAGGTCGAACAGCTCGCCTAAAGTCACACAGCTGGGCGCTAGCTTCTCGAGTGGGTGCTCTGTCTCAGAGATCCTAGCGGCCCCCCAAGGCAGCACAGCCCCACCTAGCCTTCCAGGAGGAGGCAGCAAGTTCCCAGGCACGTGTCCATATACGTTAGCTCAGCACTGTCTCTGAAATTCCTGCATTCCTGCATTAGAAGTGTCCTCCCATCTTTCTCTTTGACTAGGACCAAATTTCCCTTTTGCTCCTCCTCCCTTACTTCCCCTTAAAATGAGATTTTTGTTGGTGACAATTATTTGGGGTGGAGGATCCTCTGGAGCAGAAAATTGTCACCCGAACAGCAAGTGGTTTGCCCTGCATTTCAGGAGGGCAAAGAAATGAGTGCTGCTTTGTCTTAGAAGACACTTTGGATGTGGCTCTCAGGGGTGCTGACAGATGAGTCCAAGAAGCTTGCTTGATGCCACACTGTTTCTTTTTTCCCTGAAAGTATTCAGTTAAGCTCTGCTTGGCAAGGAGAATCTGCCCTTTCCCTTACCCCTGGGGCAATCCACAGGACAGTATCATCGTCAGCAATGTGTCTCATGGTCTGAGCTATTCTTCTGGGAGAGCCCAGGCACACTGGGGTGGGGGGATGGAGTTGGGGAATGTGTGCTTCAGCAGAGGGTCCTCCATGGGAAGACCCCTCAGAGGCCTCTCACTACCTCTCCCTGCAGTATTCTGGGTTTCTGTGGGTATCTCCAGAGAGAGTATGTACACACAGCACCAGCCACACACGCACACATACTGACATGCTCAGTAACTTTGAGAGCATAGTCTAGGAAAGAGAAAAACAGCACCTGGAAACACTCCTCCCCTCCCAGCCCACCTTGGAGAGAGCATTCTAAGGGGAAGTCACAGAGGTCCACTCCTTTTGTAAACCATCTACTTCAAACCTCTACCTCAAATGGGCCTACCAGCCCAGCAATGGTACTCCCTACCCCAATCAACCACATTTGGCTACAGAAAAACTGAGAAGAAATAGAAAATTTAAAACTGAGGTTTGTTTTTAAATCCTGGGTCAGATTAAATTCTCAGGACCAGCACCTTTCTTGCTGAATCTATACACAAGGAAGGCATTTGGT